ATACATACATACATACATAAATTACATTCATTACATACATACATACATACATACATACATACATACATACATACATACATACATACATACATACATACATACATACATACATACATACATACATACATACATACATACATACATACATACATACATACATACATACATACATTACATTACATACATACATACATACATACATACATACATACATACATACATACATACTTACATTACATTACATTACATTACATTACATTACATTACATTACATTTCATTACATTACATTACATTACATTACATTACATTACATTACATTACATTACATTACATTACATTACATTACATTACATTACATTACATTACATTACATTACATTACATTACATTACATTACATTACATTACATTACATTACATTTACATTTACATTTACATTACATACATACATACATTACATACATTACATACATTACATACATACATACATACATACATACATACATACATACATTACATACATACATACATACATACATACATACATACATACATACATTACATTACATTACATTACATTACATTACATTACATTAATACATTACATTACATTACATTACATTACATTACATTACATTACATTACATTACATTACATTACATTACATTACATTACCATACATACATACATACATACATACATACATACATACATACATACATACATACATACATTACATACATTACATACATTACATACATACATACATACATACATACATACATACATACATACATACATTACATACATACATACATACATACATACATACATACATACACTACATTACATTACATTACATTACATTACATTACATTACATTACATACATACATACATACATACATACATACATACATACATACATACATACATTACATACATACATAAATACATTACATTACATTACATTACATTACATTACATTACATTACATTACATACATTACATTACATTACATTACATTACATTACATTACATTACATTAGATTACATTACATTACATACATACATTACATACATTACATACATACATACATACATACATCCATCCATACATACATACATTGCATTGCATTGCATGCATGCATGCATGCATGCATATATACATACATTACATACAATACATACATCCATACATACATACTTGCATTACATTACATTACATTACATTACAGTACAGTACATTACACTGCATTACATGCATACATGCATACATACATACATGCATACATACATACATGCATACATACATGCATGCATACATACATACATTACATAGATACATACATACATACATACACACATGCATGCATACATCCATCCATACATCCATACATATATACATACATTACACGCATTACATTATTTACGCACTTACTTACTTACTTACATACATACATACATACGTACGTACGTACATTACATACATGCATACATTACATACACATACATACATACATACATGCATGCATGCATGCATACATACATATATACATGCATACATACATACGAGAGAGCGAGATTGGGGAGAGAGAGGCTTGGGGGGATGGGGAGGATGGGGAGCAGAGGGAGGGAGAGAGGACGTCAGAACACACAAGGGAGACAAGGGAGAGAGGAAGAAGGTGAAAAGGGAGAGGACAATGTCGGCGGACTGAGCCGGAGGCTGTAAAGTAGATTTTTTTTTAGTATATGTATTTCAATCTAAATTTTCAAAAAAATCGAGAATTTCCCATCGACCTAAAACAAGATCCCCGCCCAGATTACATATCCCCCACCACCCAAGCCTCAATTTTGCAATCTTGTAAATTATGCTCCTTTTTATTATGTCAAACTAGACCTCCAGATAACCCATAATTACCCACCAACCCAAAACAGCACCCCCGAACAACACTCCCATAGCATATGGCCGTCAATATCGCTTTCACAAAAAATACACTATCAACATGTAACAAATTATGTGGTAAAAGCCTTACAATTTAAAACTAATCAACATTTTATGACCACACATAAATCAGACCCCTATGATATTGTGCAATAATACTGTGATCTTTCTGATTGTTTTGGCCCCAGCACCAGGCTAAAGGCTCAAAATGCTCCATTTGGACCACCTCTTGGTTGCCGGCCGTTCAAAAGCAGCCTGCATCACAAGCAGACTGCACAGGTCCTGCGATATCGCCGGCACCTGGCCGTAGAAAAAAACAGCCTGCATCACAAGCAGGCCGCGCATTCGTCCTGCAACACCGCCACTCATGGCATCTAAAACTTCGAAGCATCAGCCAAACGCACATACCCCAAAATCCTAATTAAACGTCATCGATGTGGCTGGTGGCTTGACAGACCTAGTGCCAGTCAAAAGTCATGACTTTACTGAGCACTTGGTGACTTCTTTGTTCCCGCCAGGAACAAGCGTCTCACACGCTCCAAGAGAAAGACAACGGGTCAAGGTGACAGCTGAGAAGCAAATCTGCACGAAGCAGTTTGTCAACTTTTGTTGGAATGGATGTCTCTGAGCAAAATGAAGCACCGCCGGAAACGATTTCTGTGCCTGGTGCTACTACCTTCCTCAGTCTCAGGTGATTTGCCAATGTTTAGCTCGACTCCCTGACAATGTTCTGTGCAATGGCTTCCCGCAATCAATGAGCAGACTTAAGACCGCTGGCTTTTTGCTAATGTCCCCTGTCACAAGGATGACCAAGAAAGCCGATGTCCCCTGCCAAAAATCCTGGATAGTGTTTGGCCAACTCTCTCAATGTCTCTCTCCAGCACACACGACGTGCTAAAATCCGCCGAGGCCCTTGACCCGCTAGCGATAAGATCAAGGGATCGACGGGAAGCGTCGCGACACTAGGCTTGATGTGAATGACCGGCGGATGCGCCTTTCATGTGTTGCGGGGTTTTATTCAAAAACTGCACGTATCGGCGTTGATGTTGTTTGGTCTGTCTTTGTTGCATTTTTGGTTGATCGGCCGGGTCAAATTGACCGGGGCCTGGGCTCATTGTAGTGTACCGAGAGCCTGTCCTAGGTTTCATGGCGCCAGCCCATGGTCCTAGATGTATAGAGCCCGAAAAGGAAGGGAAGCGCCTTCGCGGCCTTTGTTTCAAGTGGACTGATTCGCAAGAGTATCGGTAGGCAGACTTGTTCGCTTCGACCTCCCCGCTTTAGGTTCGCAGCGGAGCACGCTACACGCCCTACCGCGTCCAATGCTGGCCCCGCATCCACACTGAGGCGGACACACTCTTTGCGGCGCACGCAGAGCAAACCACACTGCGACTTACGCACGCAGGGTTGCCAGTAGGCAACCAGCAAAGGCGCTTTAGGCTCAGGAGGAACAACAGAAGCTCAACACCTGCGCTGGTTGCAGGGGACTCCGCTCCAACGCATACAGCTGGGACCATTGCGGCTTTCTGGACATCGACTTTTGTGTTCGAACGCCAGCTGCGGCTGTGCAAATCACATTGGCCACGTGCCTCCACAGCGTGCGCCGCGCAGCAAGCACAAAGCATCCGATTAATGCCTTGTTGTGTGTTTACCTGCCGGCAACGCTGCTTCGACGGGACTCCACTCCAACGCATACAGTTGGGCTGGTTGCCTGCGAGGATGCTTTCCCCACCGGCTACGCGTCATCGATGCGATTTCACTCAAGCCGATGCGACTTAACCCCACCCCTTGTAATAAATGTGGAAATAGAAGTGATGCAAGCGATGCAAGTGTTTAAAGAAAAATAGGTCCATTGCACATTGATGAGAATAAGACAAAGAGAGAGAGGGAGAGAGAGCACGTAAAAGTGATCGTGATCGCGTGGTTCCCTAAATGGCAAAAACCACCAAGTTGACCCCAAGCGAAGGGGTCTTTCTACCATGGCACACATGGCATGATGCAAATATATCAACTCCTCTCAGGGCTGTGTCTGTACGAGGAACATGACTGAAATGCATACAACTCATGCGCAGCTGTTACCTTGGCTCCTATGGGTCACGACAAACATTCAATGCTTTCGTGTTCCGAAGGGAAGACTCCTGCAAACGGCTCAGCGGAGGCGAACAAATGCGCATCAAATGTCGCCTTGTTTTCTTGTGGCTACGCACCGTGACTATTCTCACTTGAATATTGACCGGGACTTGGGGGTTTGTGTTGTTCATCTCCGCGTCAGTCGTTCGCAGCATAGCACGCTCGTCATCTGCGAGCGTGCGCTGAGCCATCTCATGCGGTGCTTGCAAGCTCAAGTTTGATCACAGTGCTCGTTTGTTCCCCCAAACGAGTGCTCACCTCAGCACTCGCATGACGACTCGTGCTGACTGCCTGGGTGAAACTCGTCAGTGATCATGGCCAAATGCGTACCGTCGCCTTGATTCAATGCTCTGCTCCAGCCTTCTCGGAGCTTGGTGAACTTCCTGCGCAAGCACAGCTCAGGGCATTGCGATGGGATGGCTCTTTCTTGGCCTTTTGGATGATGAAACGGATGGGAACGCAAAACCTGCCAATGGATGATAGATCACGCCCTTGCTGAATTTCTGCCCTACAGCTGCCAAAGCGCTTGGCAGGAAACAGCGTGGAATCACATCAGGCAGTCACTTCGGCATGCCGGGACTGGACCATTCAGGATTCCAAGGGTGGAACTTTGGACTCAACTTTTGGAAAGGGACCTGCAAAATGCCAAGGCCATTCTCGAATCTTGGCCCAAAGCATAAAGCATGGCCCCCTCTCCTTCAGGAATTGGTCCACCTCTTTCAAGTAGTGGTCGTGGGTTAGGCGGTCCGGCTTTCTGGGCAGATCAACAAAATCTGCACCGCGCTTCTCCTGAGCGAGTTTCAACAAAAAGTCAGATTCAAAAGGTCACCAGGCGCCTCAAGTTTGGGTGCTTGAAGGCCATAGAAACAGCAAGCCTACACTCCTACTCCGGGATCGACAACTTGCAGCCGAGCTGCGTAAAACGTTGCCCTCGGAGAGATCAAACTGCGGTTTGTCCGCTCTTCAACCTTAGCATCGCAATCTTTCGCAAAGAAGTTGCGCAACATGCTGGATTCCTTTCCCTGCAAGCTGTCAAGCTGCAGTCAAGCAGCCTTGGCCACTTTTCCTGGACCTGGAACGCTGTCGTCCCCAAGCTCTGCCACTGGCTTCCGTGGAACTGACAGCTGGCCCAAGCTGGAATGCTCCGCCAGTGGCTTCTGCGTAAGCGACAGCTCGCCCAAGAGCCTACCAGCTCGGCTGGCGTAGACATGAGAGGGAGCCATCGTAAATGCTGCCAAGCCGAACTTGAGCAACCTACAAAATCCGGCGAGCTTGTTCGTGCACAACCCGGCCCTTCCACTTGCGGCGTTCCAAGGCCAAAGGCTTTCCCAAAATGTGGCTGTAGCTATTGGCACTCCTCTCAGTGTCTTTTGGCACCATTTTTTAAGGGATCCATCCCTGGTCTTGACACACCGTCCATGCGGCAGCTGCAACGATAATTACCCTAAAAATGACAATCCCAATAAGCATATACAAACACGTAATGTCGAGTTCGACAACTTTCTATGTATACAAATGTACATAGGTATACAAATGTACATAGGTATGTATCTTGATAATAAGCAAACATGTAGATATAGACATGCACAATCTACATGCAAACTTCAAGGAAGTTTCATTAGAACGTCCGTGGAACGGCAACTTTCTGAAAGCCAGCTCTCTGAGAAGGACGACAAAGCAATAAGCATGCGCGACAAAAATGCGCGCACGTGTTGCGGAGGAATGGACATGCCGAAAACGCGCAACCCTCTGCAACCTGATCGCGAAGCCTCGTCAGAGCGAGCTCGGAGCGATCTCGGAGTCGGAGCCATTGGCACGGACGCTCGCGCTTTTCGCAGAATTAGTTTGCGTGGCAGGCGCAGCACTTCCGCAAGGTCAGGCGCAGACTTTGCTGACGGCGCAGCGCTTTCGCGAGGTCTGGTACAGATTTCGTGACGGGCGCAGCGCTTTCGCAGAGAAAGGTGCAGATTTCGCAGGTCGCAGCACTTTCATGCGCAGAGGCGCAGCACTTTGGCAAGGTCAAGTACAGATCTGGTGGCAGGGTAGATCGAGATAGATGGACTGGCAGATAGATGGAGATAGATAGATAGATAGATAGACTGACCGGACGGACGGATAGATAGATAGATAGATTAGATAGATTAGATAGATTAGATAGATTAGATAGATTAGATAGATTAGATAGATTAGATAGATAGATAGATAGATAGATAGATAGATAGATAGATAGATAGATAGATAGATAGATAGATAGATAGATAGATAGATAGATAGATAGATAGATAGATAGATAGATAGATAGATAGATAGATAGATAGATAGATAGATAGATAGATAGATAGATAGATAGATAGATAGATAGATAGATAGATAGATAGATAGATAGATAGATAGATAGATAGATAGATAGATAGATAGATAGATAGATAGATAGATAGATAGATAGATAGATAGATAGATAGATAGATAGATAGATAGATAGATAGATAGATAGATAGATAGATAGATAGATAGTTAGATTAGATAGATAGATAGATAGATAGATAGATAGATAGATAGGTAGATAGATAGCTAGCTAGATAGATAGATAGATAGATAGACAAATAGATATGTAGCAAGAGCTAGATAGTCAGACAAATAGGTAGATACACAAGTAGTGAGAGGGAGAGAGAGGCAGAAATCACCAGCGAGTTATATTTCGCGCTGCAAACATAGAACATATTACCCCTTGACTTTCTTCTATATGATCTGAGCAATTTTGCATGGCCCGGCAAGAATCAGAAAGAAGATCCAGGTGAGGTGCGCGTCGGAAAAATGGTTTGGGAGGTACTCTGTGCGACTTTTCTTCGGTAAATCTTCTGTGATGCGGGGGTGTCCCGTGCCGATCTTCTATATGATCCGAGGGCGGCTCATCAAATGGCCCGGTTTGTCTTTGAAGGCAGGGACTCCTGTTTGTCTGTGAGCGCTGCCTCCAACCATGCCGCCCCCTGTGCTATAACGACAGGGCTGTGCTATAACGGCAGGGCTGTTCTATAGCAGGGGCAATGGATTTGGCCTTTTTTCAAGGGCTTCAATGAGGGACTGAGCGAGAAGGCTTTGCTGGTTGCCAAGTGGACCCACAGGTTCCCGAAAACACGAAACGCTTTTCTTTTGCTTTTCTTTTGCTGCTTTTCTTGATTCCAGGGGAGGGCCCATGGGAAAGTTGCGCGGTCCCCCTGTCCGGAGGTACTCTGTGCAAATGTTCGGTTACCCAAAAATCAGATAAAATAAATTGAAATCTATGGTACGAGGAAATGCGAGAATAGACATATAGAACAAATACAACAGACATGTGACAAAACATGTGGTCCGGATAAAAAACGACCAAGAGCTAATCAGTGCAAAATGTATATTTTCTAAATGATGCGGGCCTGTCTAACCCCCCACTTCTACGTCTTCGATATGATAAATTGGTTGGATATCTTCTATCTTTGCTTTGCAAAATATAGATAGACAAATGGGTGGGTAGGTCCCCCGTACCTCGCAGCCAAGGTTGCGGAATTCGCGAATCGCATGCACGACCTGAGGGAGGCGGGCTCTTCGAATTCTTGCGGTTGGGCGCGCGGGGTTAATCGCCGTGTCATTGGCTCAGTGTTCTGGTGAGCCGGGAATCGCTGCGCAGGTGAGACAGGCAACTGCATTGGCAAGGAAACGGAACAAGTTTGTGGAGTTCCCGCACCGTAAGAGTGCTCAATGGCGTTAAAAAGGAAGTAGACACAGTCTCATATGCGCTCAATCAACAGAGTGTGCTAAAATTCAAATATCGTAAAATGCTTAGCGGACAGTATAAATATTTCAATCACAGTTTGCACTCAGCTAGCTAATGCAGCTCCGGATTTCCCAGGCCTCAGCAAAGATCGACAGGCAAAACCACTCGTTTGTGGCGTGTCTCAGATCGGAGTGAAGAGCTGGGCATCCCACCGATGATTGCCACCCGTGACAGGTGCAGCATTCTTTTTGGTGCGGGCAACCTAGGCTACAGCACTAAGTCGAGCAGATTTCTTGCCAGGCTGCCAGACCTCCATCCGCAGCAAAGCCACATCCGCGCGATGGCCTCGCACGGCTCGCCCGTGCTGTGGCAGTCACATCGCATCGCCGCAACCCGCAACAGGCGCAAATCTGAGGTCCAGTCGCTCGAGCTCCTCTACGAGCAAATCCATTCGCACGCGCCTTGGAGATCTCAAGCCCAACTTCAACTCAGCTCATGCTGCTTTTTTGCGCAACAAACGCACACAAAATGCTCTTGGGCAAAAATAGAACGTGGACAGATGGGTGGTAAGTCTAAACAGGAAGTGGGACGCAAACCCACCCCAACCCAAATGCTCCCGAATTCTTGTGGACGCCTCTGCCGCAAAACACCGTGCCTTTTGACATGCGCGTGCGAAATCGAAAACTCCAGAGTTCGAAGGCAACTGTCTGAGGCATGCTGAGACTTCGGGCAGCTCGGCTCTGCTGGCAGCTGCCTCTCGCCTTATCTCCTGGCACTTTCAAACGAGTGGCATATGGCTTCATTCGGCCCGGCCTCGCGTGCATCCTCCTGCCGCTGCCTCTCTGCTTCCTTAGATCTGTGGTACTCGTAGATCAGCACCACGCCAGAGACGCCAAACACCACAGCTTCGCCTGAGCGCCGCCCCGTAACCCGGCCAGGCATGGGACTTAGGTTCATGCCGAGCATTGTGCAACCTGCCTGGCCAAGCCAATGGACCCAACAGCGGATTTTGTTTGATCACAAGCGCCTGCACCGCCTGATCGTGTGGAAGATGCAGACGTTCCGTCTGCATCAGCTGGGAGGCGGCCACACAGCAGTCCTCACGCCCGATTTGGGTATGAAGTTTTAATGGGTGGTTCTGGTGGGCATGATTTGGGGGGATTTATGTCCAACCATTCTGGAGGTTGGCTTTGAACATTTGAGGTGCTTGTTGAAACGTCACATGGAAATGCCGATGAGATCCACGCAAGGAACGGGCCCTGTCAGCATTCCATTGCTGCGGGCAGTCCCTTGTGCGCAAAGGGGGGGGGTCTCCTTTTGCGTCTCTTTTGCCAAGGGACACCCCCCAAAAAAAAAGAAAGAACGCGGGTTTCCTGCGCTTTTCTCAACTTTTGTTTCCTTTAAACCCAGCCGCAAAGGGTACCACAACGGGTACCAACAGACAAGCCGTCCTGGAAAGTTCGACTCCGCTCCGCGGCCGCCATGGCCACCTTGGCCACCGGCCGGGCCGCCTGCCGCACCCCTGATCCGTGCAGCGCGCGTGGGACTTTTCTGGGATGCGAAGGTTGTGGGCCAAAATTCAACCGGACAGGTTCTAGTCCATGTGTCCATTTAGCTGGGCAAGCCAAATGTTGGGTACCTATTCTTGACCCACAGCGGTTTGACGTCAGCGGGATCCGCAGGCTGCAAGTGCTGTCCCTTTGGAACGCACACCCACACACACACGACTTTGTCCAAGCCTAGAAGCATCAGCTTCCCCACTGGAAGCTTCGACAGCATGAGAACCACCTAAGCCCAACTGGCGCAAGTCATGCCTCTGAGCAGCGAGAGCGTTGAGAACATGAAGTCTGAGGGCAGCGCCATAGTTGCGAACGGCTTGCCCGAAAACGAACAACGGGTCCGAGTCAAGTGGTGCAAAGCAAAGTGAATGTGTGTGGGTATGCTTTGTAATAGCGTGGTGCGGGGATGCTGGAAACTCTTCCTCGGCTCTGCCATAGTGTTGCTTGAATGCATCTGACAAGTGAAAAGTGTTCGCCCAAGGCCTTTCATCATTTTTGCCTTGTGTATGCGTAACGCCGCGCACAGAGCCAATTTGTACCGAGGGTTTCTTGGCAAGCTTGTCAAAATCGCTTCAAGCCCAAACAACTCTGTGCGTCTTTTGTTCACCGCGCAAGATGGAGAAAAGCGCGACGGGGGCGTCTATGCGCAAGGCCGTTCGAAGCAATGTGAAGAAATCTCCAAGATCCAGCGCCGTTGCACATAGCCCGAAGCATGCCGAATCATTCGGCGTCGTGACAAAGGCCAAACAATTCATTGAGTTTATCCGAAGTGATCCAAATTCCCAACTCGGCAGTGTCACTTTCTATCATTGCAGCTGTGTCAAGAAAATGGCTCCAGCGCTTAGCGCGGAGCACAAAATGACAGCTGGAATATCTGCATCCAGCCAACACCTCGCCACTCCAAACCGGCTCCAAGCCCTACTCAAGTCCAATAGACGTCTTCGCTTCCTTTGAAAGAGAGAGAGGCTGTGGCCTGACAAAACGGCATGCGCCTTGCAAGATTGATTCAGCTCAGCTCAGTGGCTCAGTGTCTCGGGTGCTCACTTGACCTGAAAGCCACCCATGCTCCAAGGCCCAAAGTCAAGTTGGCAGGCAAGATGCTGCGAGTTTGCCATGTGCACAGCCCTTCCTGAACCCTTTGTATGCCCATGGACTCACTGACATCGTGTGCGAGAGATACAGCTGGCCGGATGCGTGGCCTTCGCCGGATTCTTCTTGGCTAAGCGACAGTCCAAAGGCGTGACCTGCATTTTTTTTTTCCCCGTCGAGCTTTCGAGTCTCCAAGTCTCCTCGGTCTCCAGCCTCCAGGATCTCATCCGTGTCCATGTGCCCAAGCCAATCATCAATGCTCATCTTGCGGGGAATGCTTCGAGCTGCCACGAAGCATGCGCACTCTCAGGCGCCTGGATCTTGGGCGCGATGGACCCCGTGACAGTACCTGAACACGTCAGCTCCTTGAAGCCTCTGGAAGCGTGAGGCATTGGGCATCGCGCCGGTTTTTTCCCGCATGTTGCTGGCAGCCTTCTCCTCACGCGGCACTGAATGAGCTATGCCTTTCCCACTCCCGATGCCCGTCTGCATACTGTGTGAACATGCGTCCTTCGTGATGTTCACGTTCAGATCGATGTCCTGCTTAACAAACAACCAAACAAGGGAGTCAGGTGTAAGACAAGGCCTTGTTGGAGAGGCCAATCACTTGCCCAGCGTAGACTTCTTCAGCGGGCTGAGCAGGGAAGACTGCATCCCCAAAACGGCGGGCAATCATCAGATTGCAATGGGAGCTGCATGAGCAAGTTCGTTGCAGAGCTTCAAGCATCAGCGAACCATGCGCTTTAAAGCTTGAAGCTCAGGCACGTCAACGAAGAATTTGCCGCGATTCTTGAAGTTCTCGAGGCTGTAAAAGGTGGTCTGGCATGCATGCGGCCCGGGCAGTGTCGATTTTTTCCTCTCCCGTGCCTTGCCAGTGGCGACCGTCACGATGGAGCCTTTCTCCTGCGCAAGCCGCAGGTGCTTCTCTCGGCGTTGCCATCCCTCCGCTCCCGCAGCTTGATGCTGTTGCCATCGAACCTTGGCCCATTGCCGTTGCCGTCATTGGCAAGTCGTTGCCAAGTCAGACCAGGCCGGCGGCTCGCCCCAATGCGAGAACTGCGAGCTCATCACGGCGGTGCCCGAGGTCCTCAAAGTCGCTCGAAAAGCGGGGGGACCTCTCCCTTTCAGCCCCCGCGACGAACGAGACTTGCTTACGCGGGCGCCTACGCAAGGCAAAAACAATGTACACGAAATGCCTACACTACCCTGCGCCCCACGCCGACAGCGAACGCTGTCCCTTCTTGTACAAACCCTTGATTCCAGAAGAAACAAGCTGCCCAGATGAGAACAAAGGCTGTCAAACAAAGGCGGTGCAAGCACCTCCAGACGAACTCTGCAGCAAGGTCCTCTGGGCAAACTTGCCGGGCATTCCGATGGTGTTGCGCCTTTGAGGCAGCCGTCGGCACAATCTATCCCCAGTCAAGGGTGTCTGGCACAAGCGCGATGGGTCGAGCAAACTGAGCTGTGCACGTGGGGATGTCGAAGGTCAGAACCGAAGTGTCTGGCACCGCTCCAGACTGACAGGCAGAACAGCCAGGCGAAAGAGGTAGACAAAACTCCCACTGCCTCCATGGTCTTCATGACGCCGCCCTTCTTCTGCATCTCCTAGCGCGCCCGAGAAGGAACTGCCAACCCGACAACTCCACTGCCTCCAGAACCACACCCTGATACTCGTTGGGCACGTCAATGACGACTTCCTGCTTGGCAACTTCCAAGAACGCAACGTCCAAAACTTCCAAACAGAATGCAACTCCTGTCCTCAAACGGCTCCATCGTCTTGCGGGTTTCGGGATCTTTGCCTCGACTCAGTTGCTCGGCAAGTCTTCCCGCGACAGAATCGACAAGCTATGGCCCTGGCGCAAAAGCACTTCTGGCGCGCTGACCATGAACTCGAAACCCTGCGCGCAAGGCCATGTTGCGCTCAGTGTTCTCGTACATCTCGCTCGTGGCAATCGGCCTCCCGACGCATGTTCTCCATTAGGATGCCCAGCCTCAGATTGTCTGCGCTGTTGACTGGCGTGGAATTTGACACCAAGCGCCCAACTGCAAAGTGCCTCGTCCCTTCACCTTGAAGCTCTCAGACCTCAGAATGACTCGAATATGTTGCAGCTTGACCGCTTGCAAGCCAAGTCCTTGCTGAGCCTTGCTGCAAGCTGCATTCTAGTCAGACATGTTCTTGCGCAGTATGGCTAACGGTCCCTTTTGGCTGCCTAACACTCAATCAACACTCCACAAACATCGGCAATCTCTCAACTACCCCCTTCCGCTTGGAAAGGCTCCGCGGCTCGGGGAAAGACGAACTTTGCGAGGTTGAACAGGGAGTCGCATGTTGCGCGTATCACATGCGCCGCTAAATCAAGCTTGGCATTGTTTGCAGAAGGCTCATACTTTAGCTTCTTTCTATTTTCCGAGTGTGTTGCTAGTGGAGGGTTCAAAAGTCTTGATGCGACATGTGGTGGGCATGCGTTGTTCAACTCCTTGGTGTGTGGAGAGCAAGGGTCGGTAGCACCAGGGCAACAGCACTTCTCGATTTTGACGACCCCGAACTAGCGCTGTGCTCCCGACGTGCTGCCTGGTTCCACTCGCAGAGCCAAATTCGTGAGACACTCCTTCTCCAATCGTGCCTCTCTGAAAGCTTGAGGCTGGTCCCTGACATGAAACACATTGCGTTCCCCGCCTTGATTTGCGGAGGCGTGACCTTTGTAGACTCCTGCCACGCAATCCTTGTCCCACGTGATATCCCACCAGGAGCCAAAAGCCGCCCCAGCCGCTCGGTCCTTGGCCTTTCCGGCGAAGGGGGACTTGTTGGTGGCGAACTCCATGGCCACGGTGGGCTCCTTCCCAGCTGATCCCTCTCTTCCCTCTCTTCCCTCAGTTCCGTTGCTCCCGGGCCTCCACCTGAATAGGCGGCAGAGGTGTAGGGTTCGACATGTCCACCACAGTGTCGCCGATCTTCACCTCAAACTTCAGCTCAAACAACACTCCAAAGTGGCAACGGATTCTTTTTGCGGTCCCCCTTTAAACACTTCCGGACGCTTCCACTTGACACCCTTATATTTGGAGGGATTCACGCAAGCCTCAGACATCCCAGCAAAGCAGCAAATGTCTCCGGCTGTCACCTGACATCTTGCGACGCCCTCGCGCGTTTGCAAAAGGCCTGGCATGCCTCGTCGACTGGCACCCGGTCGTTGTTCTGAAATTGCCAGAGTTTGGAGACCTGCAGTGTCGCAGGTAACTCCCAAAGATTCGACATTATGACCTGACGACCTGACCCCCTTAGATGCGGCTGGGGAAGGGGAGGACTTCCCCGACCCACGGCTCCAAGTGCCCTGCAGTCCCCTTGCGCAGCCCCCCCTTCTCCCCGTACATGAAGCCCACCTGAGCCACGTCCAGAACTCCAACGCCAGCCAGGCGCCAGGCGCCTCGCTGCCGACTTTCAGCGATCCAGCCATGAGGCGGCCGATGCAAATGCGCCTCTCAGGCATCTCACTGAGGCCGATGCGCCATCCCTTCGCCCAGATTTTGGGAGGAACCTTGCCAACTTGCCCCCCCCCAGGCTAAAAGGGGCGTACCCGACATAATCATCATAGTCCAGGTTCGAGACCTGCCAAGTTCCACACCAGAGCCACGCTGCGCGGTTCAATATGAACTTGGGCCACGGCTAGCATTTGCAAAGGAGCTTCTGGGTCAACTTTTGGCAAAGGTGTCTCCTAGCATATTCGCAAAAGGATAAACAGCTCTGAATGGGTGTGAATCTAATTGATGGGGGTGGCAGACATCAATTCAGACTTCCGTCCACCAAGCCACTTGGGCTTGGTGGCCTTGTAAACCCGACCTGGCCAGTGGTCGGCCCGGAAGTCGGAAGATATCGGAAGTCCACGTCTCCTCCAGGATGGTGTCCAGCAGAGGCTTCAAGTCCTCCTGGAGATCCTCGGGGCCGTCCACAGAGGCCACACCCTGGAAGCCGGAGGCGTAGACCTGAGTCCGACTCGAGGCAAGCTGTCCACTGGAACTTCTCGAAACCCTTCAGTTCCAAACTAATTTGAGTTACCCTCTTGGAACTTTCAACCAAGTTGAAGACTAAAGATCCAACATGGCAATGCCGGCAAGACAATGGAATTCTCAGCTTTGGCTTGCCCCAACCGACTGCCGCAAACTTGGGGCGCCTTATCCTTTCACCTTGGCGCTACTTGTTTTGGATTGAAGAGTGGGTTTGTGTTTGGGCTAGCATGTGCTGTAGGGCTGGTTTAGGGGGGTTGAGGGCTTGCTTCAGATTGATTGAGGCTTGGAACGCGGAAAATGTCGCTTGGCTTAGGGGTTCAGTTGTGCATTGGTTAAGGTGAGTTTGCAGTCTGTCCTTGGGGTAAGCATGGGCTGGGCTCAGGGTTGCATGGGGTGGCAGAATAGGTTTGTTTGAAGGGTCCAGGGCTTGGCTTATTAGGCTTGGGTTGGCTTCGGGTTGGGTCCAGTTCTTCTTTGGGCTAGCATAGGATTTCTGGCGTGGCTGCTTGGTTTAGGCTGAGTTTCGGGTCGGCGGCGCGCACCGTGAGAGAAAAAAGGGGCAACGTTTGAGCGTTCCTTGGTGAGAAAATGAAATGCTCCGGCCAGACAAAGCAAACACTTGCCTCTCCAAAGCAGGCGAGCGGCCACCGGGAAATCGCAGGCTTCATCGTCAGCGCCAAGACAGCCAAAGAGGTCAAAGGTGGTATCAAGGACCTCAAGTAACTTGGCGGGCATGCTGAACCCTGTTTTCCCAAATGAACAATCTCTTGGTACACCACCCAATCCACCCTGGACGCTGGCTTGTCCACCTGACACAGCTTGGACGCGGCATTTTCTCCCTCATTTTCTCCGTCCCTCAAGCCGCCTTGTTGATGCAAACGATCAACTTTTTCCCCAGCTTCAGAGCTTGCCTCAGAGCCGATCGCAGCCACTGCAGCGGGGGCTTGTTCGGGTTTTTTGTCTGTGCCCATTGCCGACTCCTTTGACATGCAAGGTGACGCTCCGGCCCAGCCTCAGCACGAACTTTGTCTGCGGCATGGGGCCCTCCTGCCATGCGCTGTTCGGAACCGGCGACATCGGGTCTGGCTATGCATGCCGGAGAGGCGGCAGCATCCACCAACAACAAACAGGCATCTGCCTTGCGCTTGAGGCAAGTGATGCGATCAACCTCTTATATGTGTTCCCAGTGACGTGTAGGCGTGTCTGCTTTAAGGGAGATGAACATGAAGTTGTCAACGTTGGGCCCCTGTTCTAACACAATCCCATGTACAAGTTTGCGCTCTTTAAGACTGTCACCATGTTGAGGATCCGCTCAACCTCGCCACCAAAGTCTGCGTGGCCCGGGGTGTCCACGATGTTGATCTGGGTCGGCAGAGAGAGCAACAGCGCCACTTGGCTGCAATATGCTATCAACAACAGCCACCAACTTGGTGCTCCAGCCTTGATGCCTTTGTACGTCACAGCGGCATTCTTTGCCAGGATGGTGATGCCACGCTCCTGCATGTCCGTAGCCAGTCCCAATATTTTCATGTTTGCAATTCCCCTGTTGTTTTCCCAGCACCACACTTTCACGGGGAAAATGGCCGAAGCTCGCGTGCTGGGCTCGTCCCGCCTGCTCCAGCTGGTCGCTGTCCATGGACTTCAACTTCGACATGCCGCACCTGAACACCAAGATGTAGAGGCGAAAGGGATTTGTGCGATGCAACATGCGCAGTGCTCAACACTCGTTGTGCTCAACACGCGTTGACAAAGGCTGAAGGAAAACAGCTAGAACGGGATCCTGAAACGCCCAACTGTTGGTTTGGGTGCTATGCAGTCTCAGAAAGCTGCTGCGTCATGAGGGCATTGGTGAGCGTGGTCCTCGGGAGCCAAGCAAATGCGCCGTGGCTAAGCCGCACTAAGGCCCCCGACTTTCCATGGTCAACGTGTGCAATGATGGCAATGTTGCGGATGTCCTGTTGGATTTCTCAGTGGCTAAGTGACTCAGGATTGGAACGCGACTGGTGGCAAGTACTAAGCTAAAGCTCTGCTTGGCTGTTCTGAAAGAACACAAGGTCAAGCCTCCCTCTCAATGACGCCGGGCTTATCCAGTGTGGCAACACGAAGAGGCGGTAGCCTGGCATGCCGCCCGACCGAAAATTCATCGACGAGTTCGCCCACCTTACTCGCCGGGCCGAGCGTCGCCGCAGGCCAGCAACTGCGCGCTCGGACACAGCCACCCACAGCCACCCACAGCCACCCACAGCCCACAGCCGGCCTGCTCCAGCCACTGCTGTCAGTCCAATGCTTGCAGCATTGGCGCTGGCCTTCGCCGGGGGCCTCCTGGCCATCCAACTGGGGATGTCGGCCACATCTTCACACGTCGGCCGGTATGAATCGGTGGCCGAATTGCCGAATCGGTCGCCTTTCAGTGGTGCTGCTCTGGCTCGGGCTCGCTCGAGGCACCTGCACGCTAGCGAGCTAAAGGCTTTCAAGGCCTTGCCAGGCCTCTGGAACTACGAAGGACACGGGATAGAGAGCCATCTCCTCGGAGCTTGGCATGGCAACCGATGCGCCCGTGCAACATCTAGGCAGCTCGCCCAAAATCTTGGCGCCGGCTTCCGGCTGAGCCAAAAGCGTCAGTGGAGCAACAAAGCAAACACCAACTCAGGGACAACCGTCCCACCTGTCCCTAGGTTGGCCTCCAAAAGCGTCGTTGCGGTCTCTGACTCACGTGAGCTCGGCTGGTTTTGGAGGGGGTGGTTGCAGTGGGCCTGTAGCTTGAAAGAGGTGTATTGGTTTACAGTGCTTTGTGGGTGGCCCGACTTAGCAAGGAACGGTTTTCAGAAGATTACCCACGTGTAGCCGGCAGTTCCAGCCATTTACGCATAGCCGGAAGGCCGCAGGCCTTAAGACTCATAACCTACAGCCAAGTCCAACCACATGTAGTATGCCCTGCAACTGGACATCCTACAAGTTCCAATAACCATATTAAACCAAGAACTATCTTTCCAAGCAAATTTTCATGTTGTTGTCCCCAAGCTACTGGTCTGTGCTCCATTTCAGTCCGGAAAATACCAGACAGCTTGGGGCTTGTTGGATGGTTCCAGAGGATTCCTGGAAGATTTGGGGGTCAGGTAGAAAACACGCTTGGTAACAAACACTTTCCAGCTGTCAACAAGATACCTTAGGTTGGAAAAAAAATGCTGGCTCGTATTTGCAAGGGAAAAGCCGTGAAACAAACTCAGGCTGCTTTTGGGTGGAAACTCTCCGAAAAAAGCAGATCTTCCTCGTTCTCTGACCACTGGCTCACATTGTACATTCATCACCTCTATGACTCGACCCTCTGATTACGGTTCAAAAAGTCAGCAGAGTTGCTGTGTCACATGATTGAAGCGATCCCAGGGCAGGAAGAGCCACCGTGCAAGCATATCTCTTGTTTGCTTTGCCCGAGCTCAGTACCTTTCTTTGAGGCAGCTGAAGGCCCGCGAATCGTTAGCGAAGTGATCCCGCAACCTCTACTTTCCCGGTGCGCGCTGAGAACGAGGAGATCTGAGCAAATGCCAAACGCAGTTCAGCATGCCATGTGTCATGTAAACAGTACACCGACCACGTCTTGTGCACTTCAGGCACCACTCTGAGGCTACCACATGCAATGGAGGGTGGTGCATGTCCCGAGACATCGAAGAATACCTAAGGTTTAGCGTACCATCCTGGGAAACGCAAGAGAAGGGTGAGGCTTTGCAGTGACAAAACCACTAAGTAGTGTGAAGCAAGCCCGAAAACTCGGGCGAGGAGGAGAAAGAGCACAACTTTCTGCCAAAGGCTCGAAAAGCTATGAGACACGGGCACCTGGAGCGACCCGGGCTGGAAGGACAGTGCCCGGAAGCTCGGAACCGACCCCACCTCGTGCGCGAGTCGGAGGCATGAGATCGCATGATCGTGTCTTTAAGAGGATCCCGAACAATGGTGGTTGCCTTTTGCTTTGCCTTCAAAACCAAGCAAAACGGGTACCCTCGAAAACACACCCACGTGAGTCTTGAAATGTCTTGACATGGGGACAAGCCGAGCGCCCAGCAGCTCTCATTGTTTGGCTCCGTCTCATGACCTTCGAAGGATTCCGCGTGAAAGAGTTGCAAGTCACAAGTTCCTTGGGGTCTCTGCCGGCGAATGCCTCGATGTCAACTGACTTCACAACTATCTAAGGCATGATTGGCTGGGCTTCAGGCGATGCTATGGCAGAAGCCTGCGCGGCGAAAGAATGCGATCGCCCGAGGTCACGATGAGTTTGCCGCGTAGGCAACACACTTCCGAGTGGAGTGAATACAACGTGTGCCTGCGCAGCTGCTGCCGCATGCGCGAAGCCCTCACTCGCCTGTCGAGCGAGGCACGAGCGACTTCGAATAGACATTGACGTTGCCTCTGATCGGACGCGCGCCATAGCATACCTCGAGTGGCTGTCCAAGGCCCTTCGCAGGCCAGGTGTATTTTTCGGTGTCGCAGTCCCGTTGCAACAGCTGAGCGTCTTGCCCACTTCTGGAGCCTGACAGCTCGGCAGCAAAGAAAGAGGCGTCTCGGGGACCCGGACCTGCGGGAAGATAGACACTTCCAGGTGCCTGAAAGAGGGCAACTGGCTCGAATGATCTGTTTCAAAATCACCCAATCTCACTTTGAAAGGCAGCCATGTTCAAAAATTGAACCTCCCCAATAATCAGAATGTTCATCTTGAATTTTTTGAACCGCCCAAAAGAACAGGTCATCTCACTTTGAAACAGAATGCTCATCTGAACCGCCCAAAATCACACCCTGGCGAGCACGCGCCATGCGCGCTGGGACCCCGCGCCGAGACGGCCAGGCTTCCAGGCACAGGCACCTCACGCGAAAACCGCGAAAGCCGCGAGGGCCGCGTGTGAAACCCGATACGCTGGCCTGAGCCAGGGATGGCCGCCTGGAACTGAAGGGCCTGAGCAACAAATGACAAATGGACTCATATGGAAAAATATATAGTAGTCTATTTATATATGTAGTAGTCTATATACTAATATGTGTGTGAGTAATACAGGGTACTATGTTGCGATTCGGCAAACTGCCGAACATCGTCCGAACGCTTGGCTCGCCGGCGCCGCGCGCAGGGTGTATTCGCGGCCCTCCTGCGCATTGGGTCTGTGGCTTAGATCTTGGCTCATAGCCTCGGCCTGCATCTGCCGGGCACGCACAAGCAGCTCAGCCTGCAAGCCGCAACTCGTGAACCACAAAGGCTGATCTTTGCCAGCAAGGCCAAGGCAACGTTGAGTCTGAAATGAGAAACTTGGGTAGCACCCCGTGCTCGCAAACTCAATCTGGAAATCTGGCACTCAAGCGGTCCACGCAAAGCCATATGCACAACCAAAAGGGCGGCCGAGTCGGGCGTGGGCCCATAGCCTCCCTCGCCGCAATATCGTTCCTGCCTGGTGCTCCAGCTCGGCCACCTGTCGCATGGCGGCCTCCCGCAGCTGCCGCAGCTGGGCAGCATGCCTCCGGGTTGGTCGAAAGGAACCCATCCGAATCAACGCTTCTCAGCCGCTTCTCTGCAATGGGGCTTGAGACAGACTCAGCACCCCCCTGTTAAAGCAACTTGGCTCGCAAAGACATGGACTCTGGTCGCCCGGCTGTTTCTCCAGCATCTCCTCCTGCTCCTTTGCCTTAGGCCATGGACTCACGCTCAAATCCGGCAATGAACCTCATCTCCTCATGCCGGAATTCTAGGCCCGCCACTGACGTCTCCAGCGTCAAGTTGTACCTCCGCGCTTTGCCCCTGAACCTAAGGACCTAGCATCTGGAAGCTGATCATGATGAGAAACATGAATGTCATTTTGGAAAGCCTGCGCCGTTTGAACTCTCCACAGGTCGCCCGAGCTCGTGTGATCATATGGCGGCGCACTGGTTCCTCTGCTCGTTGGCATTGGAATGAAGCTCATCCTGACACGGTAACTTCCAGCCTTTGTGTGACAAGAAGTCGACAACACATCCCAGTCCGTCATTGTCCGAAACTTGGCAGAAAGCTCTGCCACACCATCTCGGAGCTCTTGCTCCAACTCAGCAGCAAACGCCTCCTGTGCGGCATGTGTCGGTGCTTCTTCTGAATGCATTGGGCTTGTCGCCTTCTGCGCGGCCACTGAGTCGGGTGTGGGCAACCCCGCCGTAAGGCAAGGCACCTGGGCCGATTGGCCATAGGTTCTCGGCTGCGGCCTCTGCGGGGCCTCCCGAATGACGCCATTGGTGGCCAGGGCCTATCAACAACTTCCAGGCATGGCACCCAACTGCGAGCGCTGTGGCCGAGCCTGTAGCATCAGCGTGCGAGTCCCAGACTTGCTGCGCTTGCTCGCTGCGTGTGGCAAGCTTGGCACTGCCCGATTTATGGTGAAAGTCAGCAGTCTTTGGCAGAGTTCCAATTCCACATGTAAAGCTACTGTGCATGTGTATGGCAGAACCATCTGTGCATGCGATGCCGAGTGCTCATGGTGCATACAGACTGCGACAAACATCAGCTGCACGAGCCCTCATTCTTCTCACGTCGCAGGGGCACACAGCGCAAGTGCAAAAGGCTCTTTTGCCTGGCTGCCCCACTGCCTGCCCTGCACTGTTCACCGGATGTTGACAGAACACTTTGAGCTCACCATGCATGGCCGAAAGACTTCTTCTCAGCTCTTCCAGCAACTCCTGAGGTGCATGTCTGCATTCACTCAGTTCCAAAACTCAAACTTGTGGCCCCAGGCAGCGGAAATACGGAGCATTGCCTGGAGGCAACGCAACTGCAAAAGCCAAGGCCTTTCATCAAGACCCCGCCTGCGAGTCTGCATAAGCGGCGGCACCAGAGTCTTTGCATCCAGACGCTGCGAGTCCTCAGTCTGCGGCCCGATTTGAGCTCCCCAAGCCTCAAATCGGCCTCTTGGGCATGTCGCGCGTCAGCTCGGACTCGGAAAAAAAAAAAACATGTGCGGCCATGTGCAAAAAAAAGGCAGAGATCGGGGTGCAACGTCTCTCTTTGCGCCTGCAAGGCCGAGGAAGCTCAGCGCCTCCTGGTTCGTGCAGCCTGGGCTTCCGATTTCCGGGGGTTCCATCGAAATCCCGGACTTGAGTTAATATAAAAATCCCTTGACCCCTCGCCTGGACCAGCCCCTTTGCCATCTCCGGTCCTGGCCTCCTGTGCGGCTCGCTGAACGTGGAGATTATTTGTCCATGGGTCAAAATCCAAATCGTACCCCCAATGAACATCTCAATTCCCACTAACATAGACTAAAATGGGTGGTGAATTCACCTACCCCAAAATCCCCACAATGGTACCATTGGTTTTGACCCACAGCCCTTTCTTTTTGTGCCATCTGAGGCACCAATGCCATTGCTGCCGGAGCCGTGGGACGTCGGCTGGTGCTGCGTCCTCGCAATGGGCCAAATGTGCGACTGGAGGCGTAGTGGACATGCGTCCTCTGGCATTTCCCCGGGCGGATTTCGGCGGAAATCTTCCAGGCATGGCTCCCTGCAAGCTATGGCTCGCAACTGCTTACCTGTCGGGTGATGTGCTGGCTCGCTTGCTGTTTTCCTCATTGAACTGGTGTACTGTTCTGTCGGCTGAGATGCTCTGCATGATCCATGCTTCATTCCGCCTGCTGCGTTGGAAAAGCCAATATACAAACATGTACGCAGCATCCTTTCCAGCACATATCGCCAGAACCAACGAACGGCCAGCCATGAACGCGAGGGGAGCATGCCTGTTTCTGAGCTCTTGGATTCTTGCCAGGGCAAAGCTCTGGGATGATACCATGAGCTGCACAGCCGTGACAGCGTGGAGCAGATCCGTGCAGGAGCTCAGAACAGCTGCATACCTCCGAAGCTACCACTCATTGACTAGCCAGACTCGTCACGCGAGTTGAGTCTCGGACGACAGGACATCTCGCTCGGGCATACGGGCGAAGAGGAAGAGCCCCTGGCGCTCGAGGTGGGCACTTCATGGCCGCCATGGCCCCATGGCCCCATGGCCTGCTGCCAGTGTGAACGACAGGCCGCGATGGCGGCGTTTCCCACGGAGACGGAAGGCGTGAGGTAGGACAAAGCTTGCAGCCAGCACGCGGCTCTTTGACAGGCGCCTGCATCGCGAGTCGAGAAAACTGTGCCAGACTGACTGAGCAGCCAGCCTGCAGCGGCCAAGTTTGCGGCTTCATCGGCTTCCAAGCCGAAGCCTTTGAAGGCCTTAAGTCTTGACAAGTCTGAGGATGAGTCCATCGGCAACAAGGGCCTGGTGCAGCTTCATGGCACTGTGCCAGCGCTGCCCCACCTCAGACACTCCAAAAGCACTCCCTCCGCTAACACCCATCGCCTCGCAGGCCGTCAGCGCCGTGGTCAACAGCACCGCGTCCCTCAGCAAACGCTCCCGCCGTCTTTCGCGTACATTGCCGTGCCGCGCCTGGGGCCGCTGTGGACCTGCCGGTTCGAACAAAGTGGAGTTGCACCACACGGAAAGCGCGTGCCTCCAACATCCAAAGGGCAAAGGCCCAAGCCAGGCCACGGCGAGTGCAAGCACTCGCCACAGCCGCGTGGCTGACCTAGCAGACCAGAGCTGCAAATGCGCAGAGGCTCTCAGCTCCGCCTCGTCGCTTTCCAATTTGTTGCTCCTGGCGGCCTTGAGCAGGAGCAGCGCCTGCATCTTCCACAAAAAAACGAACACCCCCAGCACTTTTCATCAAATTTGCAGGTGTTTGCAAGCCTGGCGCCAGCGACCACTCAGCTCACAGGCGCTAATGACCACGTTGTAGGCCCGGATGTCCGGCGCGGCCTCCTGGGGAACCCGGCTCCACATCTCCTGGCCAGCGAAGCTCAGAATGTCCTGGCAAACCTATGGCTCAGCGTTCTGACAAGAAATCCTGATTCAGGTCCGTGTTTCTGTTGACTAGAGCTTTGTAGTTGCTCAGACACCACAAAGATGGAGCATGAGTGGCTTTCGTGCATGCACGCGTGTCACGTGTCTTGCAAGCAACGGGATTATCCGAGCAGTAGTCTCCACCAAAACCAACACAACGCTTGCGTTGTCCCCAGGGTGCTTGGCAAGTGTCTGAAGAAATCAGGCCGGTCAAAGAACCTCCCACAAAAGGAGGTGCCCCAAAGAGCACCTCTCGCACCATGCGCTCCTGCAACTCGGCACAGGCCAGTTCCCAGCGGCTGCTGCGTGCCTGTCAGTGTCCGCGTCTGACTGTCTGTCTGACTCAGAGGGGTGCACCAGGGCGGCCAAAACTGCGCCGCGGCCTCAGACGACGCTGTCTGAACTTGGCACAGCCAAGACTTCATCCGGGCGGCAGATCTGAAGCCGGGCTTCGGAGTCCCGCCGCAGCGCACCCAGCACCTCCTGCGAGGATACCGGTCCAAGGCCGACACTTCCTGCCGATCGGCGAGCTGCAAACGGCCTGCGACCAGCTCCACTGCACCGCTGACGCGCAGGCAGTGATGATCGCGCCGCCAAGAGCTGCCGATCCCGCGCGAAATCTGACAGCCAGCCGCCACAGAGCTCCTAACAGGAGCTCGGCTTGAAAGGGAAAAGAAAAGGAACACCATCATTTTCAGGAGTTCTCCTCAAAAAAACAGCCAAGTGACTCACGGTTCAGACAGATCCATATCTCTTGGTTCTTGTCGCTCTGCATCTCTTGCACTCGCCATCGATCCCCTTTACTCAATCTGTGCGACTGCCACCTCACCTATTTCCTCCGCGTGAGTTGGTACGCATGCTGGGTGAGTCTGCTTTGTTCAAAGGCCAGTCTCCTCGCCCAAGGGCACAGGCCATGCTTCCTCTTGTGACAACATCTGGCTGAAGACCAAGCGCTGGCATGCTGCGCCCCAGAGTCAGCCCGTCTTGCCACTGACTCCCTGGCGTGCATCTGACATCTCATGGCGTGTTTCACTGGATGTCTTGCAATCCTAAGTCATAAAACATCTCTGTGCAAAGCACCTCGCTCACAGGCAGCGAGGGCCTCGTTGAAGGTTGTGGCGTCCGGCTGAAGTCTGCGGAATTTCATGGACCGGAAGATCTTCATTGCCCCCGTCCAGCAGCCTTCCGAAACGACTTTAAGCCAAACCAGCTTCCATTTAAAAACCCTCTCCCGAATTCCATCCGCGCCTCCCAGACCGTAGGCGTGGATGGCTGCACCGCAAGATATCATGTCGGGCCTTCCCTTCTCCAAGGAGTCAAAGCACAGAATTCCCCACGCCCACCTCAGGCCACATCAGGAATCGATGAAACCTCTCCGAGGAGGCGACCTGTAACTTCGCGTGAAGGCCGTCAGCGCGGAATTCATAGAAATCGTATTCGGCTGAAAGCCCTGCAAGCGTGTCTCCTCACGACAGCATAGCAGCACTACAAGAACCAAACCGATGTCCTTCTATTCATGACAAGGTGACAAGGTTGTTGCTCAGCCCTGTGCAAAGGATGACTAAGCAGCTGCACGAGTGACAAGTTCTCATCTACGTGCTGGGCGTTCCCAAATTCGCCTCGGCCCCTTGCCTCTACCCTCAGTTCTCGGGCCAAGCCACACGGCTGGCCACACATTCATATTGGCCCTAGTTCCTTGTGCCCAGAATGCGTCACCCTTGCCCTTGGACTGTCCTTGACGATTTCACGCGGATACTTTCTTGCATGCGAGGCATGAAGGTCATTTCTCCAGCGGAGAAGGAACGGAGATCAACGGAAGCCTCTAGATCCCGAGGCCCTGAGTCGGGCAGCGCGAAGCGCTTACAATTACTTTGCACTCCCATGAGATGACAGGATGTGGCGGTGCCATGGAGTCGTCCGTCATCTCATGGAACGCATGCGCTGTGATATGCACAAGTCTCTCCCACAGTCCTCAATAATGTCGATGACATCTCGCCAACGTGCTTGATTGCCTAGGACAAACGCTTGTGTGGACAAGGCACATGGTTTTCCAAAATTATCCATCCCAAGAGTTCCTTGCAAACCGAGACAAACCTGAGTTTGCAACTACCAACTTGCTTACCAATGGCACACCGCATGTAGCACCGCATGCAGCTTTTCGCCAACGCACCCCAATTGCGCGTGGCTTCAAGTTCAAACAGGGGACTTCATGGCCGGCAACGTTCAAGTGGTGCAGATCAAGATAGATCAAGCAAACCGCATCCAGCGTCCCCAATGTCATTCCCTTGACTGTAGACAGTAAGTGTTGACCATGGCCGCTCTGAGTAGTTGTACTCAGTGCAAACAAGTCGCCAAGGCGCTTGATGCAAGCAGTCAGTGCCTTGTCCGAAAGGAACTGAAACTTATCCGAGGCAGGAGGTGCGTTTGCCGCTCTCATTGGCAACGTGCTGCGAACATATCATCTCCGGAGTGTGGAAGCAAGACCGCGATTTCCAACAGGGTTTGCATTGGTGAAAGACCGTAGCGTCAGGTGGTGGCAGAGTCTCAAAGATGCTGTTTGTGTTGGGTCCTGAATGATTCTACAGGTTTCTTCATCTCTAGCACGTGCAGAATGCTGGCCGCAAACAAGTCGTCCATTTGATGAGTCTACAACTCATTCTTGGCTTCACGTTCGGGTGTTGCATTCTCCTGCAGTGACGAAAATGCCTGCGCCACATGTTGCCTGCAAACTCCACAGGCAGCAAACATGGTGCTCCATGTGACATAGGCAGCTTTCTAGTCATCCGCGTGCGTTCTTGCCCGCCCCTTGCCAGTTGGCTGAGGGAGGCAGACAAAGGATTAACAAATAGGAGGCGGCACAGCGCTCATCGCACCAAAACCTGGACTGGAATTGGGGTCTGGTTCCGAATCGGAGCCCTCATGCCAACATTGATCAACGCCTTAACTTAGGGAAGCTCCAGCTACCTATGAGGCATTCCCAGCAATCGGACTCGCACTTAGCTCACAGCCTCGCACAGCCTCGCGGCCTTTCCTGATTCATTGCTCAATGGGGATCGTGAGTGTTTCTGTCCGTTCGTCGCTATGGGCGCTGAGCTCTGTTACACCAGAAGCAACCGCTGACGAGCTCACGGAACTTGCCTCTGGCCCTTTCCGGGTGTTGGGACCTCAGGCGCCGGCGCTCGCTCTCTGGATCTGGAGCGGGAGGAGCTGCTGCTGGAGGAATCCTCGGCCGAGGCCCGAGGTTGCCCGAGGTTGCCCGAGGCTGCCCGAGGCTGCCCGAGGCTGCCCGAGGCTGCCCGGCTTTCGGGCCCTGCAAAGCGCCCGCCTCTTCTCGCAGGTCCTCGTAGAATTCTTCCACCCGGCCCAGCAACTGAGCAGTGGGGACCTCAGCGAAACCGCCTAGAGGCGCCCTGACTTCTTCCGCCGCTTGCCTCTGGCAGCACTTGCGGCGTCAAGGCCTTGGATCCAAGGCGC